ATGAGTATGCTCCTATTCTGAACCTGCTGCATTTTCACGCTAATCTAGGAAGTTTTACCTGTACAGATATACTGGCTTAGATTTATACATTTACTAGAAATGTGTACAATAGCTAAAAATCAAAGCCATTATCAGAACAATAAGCTTGTCAAGTAATGACCTTTATTTGGAACACAGATAGCACATATGATTTTTTGTACCCAATGACATCAACTTATTTCTCCACATTTTGCATAGAAGTAGAAAGAGGAAAATAAAACTTTAAGATATGACTATGGTTGTATACCCTGCTAGAAAATGTTAACGATTATTTGTATTTAAATGGTTTATTTTAAACTACACTTGTCCACAACCACTATAATACTTGTAACAGGTGTTTTTTACTGCCATTTTTGTCATTTACTCTCATTTCTGTGCCACTTGCTGTCCAAAACAGACAATTTGTAACTTCCTCCAATACATCCATCACCCCAAGAATGGCCCATAGGGATGTACAAACTATTTCTTCTAGCAAATGTACTGAATTGTGTTTGAAGTTGAGCATATTTTCTAAATGGTCACTCTACTTATTGTATCAGTGTATTTGTTTCAATGTTAATTTTCCCTACTGTAAAAAAGTCACTTATTTCCATTTTCACTTCATGTGACTTCCATGAAATGTAATTAAATAAAGATTTATAAATGTAACAGTAATAATTTCTATTCCTAGAGAAAACTACAGCCAGAAAAACTTAGCTTTCCATATCTCTATGGTCCAACCATCATTACATCTAAATCACAATGAATCTTTCATGAAAGTGAGGGCCAAGTGAGTTCTCAGTTTCCAAACATTTCTTATTAGAGACAATGCTTCAGAAAGCATGCAATTTTATTTTTAAATTATTCTGAAAATGCCAGGGAAGAGGGCAAACTAGGTTTCAGAAGGGTGAATAAAATACATTAGGTCCTAAACATGCTATTATGGCAACAGCAAACCATTACAATGTTGTTGTGTCAAATATCTAATAGCATAATTTGTTAGCATGTTGTAGATACCTCTTTCAAATTCTGACATGAAATATTATGGGATCATCTGAGAAGATGCATTATCCCTGAAACTATACCAGTTGGAATTCCTATATTTCATCATGTTACCAATGTATACGATTATACTAAGAATTGTATGATGCAGGATCACGTGAGTTGTATAGTAATATATGCAATTAATTATGTGCCTAGGTCTGCAAAACAGTACACACCATCAACTTCCACTGTCTTTACTCATGTCTTTGATTATTGAATAGCAGGAAACAAGAAAAAAATGAAAAACTCTTTAACATTGTGTTGATTTTTTTTTCTATTTTTCATTTTTCAAGGTGTAACAACATTGCCAGTCACTACCTTATTTTAGAGCAAAAAAGATTTTATAAAAGATTCATTCTGAAATTCAAAACCCTACAGTGCTGAATCATAAGTTTCTAAAACAACATCTCCAGGTAGATATGCTTCCAAAAGTGTTGTGTTATTATTTTTTTTTCAAGTTACAGTTTAGCCAGCTGTCGTACAATAAATAGAGAATGACAACAAAAGAAAGAGAAAGATAATGTATCTCCTAAATGTTCTATTATTCATATGAATGCAAACAACTTGGCTAATAAGAGAACTGAAGACAGAAAGGTGGGTAAATATCTTCTCAAATTTTTAAAAGGCAGAATCTCAGAACCATAAACCCAGTGCCATCTATCCCAGAACTGAACCTTTTATCAGCTAAATTTCTAGTACTAAAATGCTGCATGGTGCTTGAGATGCCATTGCCAAGCAGTACCACTACAAAGTCCAGCCAACCTCCTACTACACACCTGTCTCTCACAGCATTTCATACAACTGAGTGTGGGAGGAGAATTGGGAGGGACAAAAATTGGGGTGGAGCAAAGGGTCATGAGGATCCAGGGCGGTCGTGTGTACAGGTATAAGAAGCTATGCTACACAGCAGTAAATTGGCACTTGAGGTAGACATGTTGTGTCCATCTCTGGTGTCCCTGCTCTGGGAGCAGACGTCCAGGCAGCCAATCAATGTTGTCTCTCAGGCTGGGATAGCATGGAGAGAGGCAACACTGAGAAGAGTTTAACCAATTTTCTAATAAAATTCCTGGCATTTTGTATGTTTTTTGTTTTTGTTGTTGTTTAGTTTTGTTTTGATCTTTCTTTCTTTCTTTCTTTCTTTCTTTCTTTCTTTCTTTCTTTCTTTCTTTCTTTCTTTCTTTCTTTCTTTCTTATTGGTTCAAATATTACCTTTGTTGTTGTTTGTTTGTTTCTTTGTTTGTTTCTTTTTTTGTAGAAAGTGGAATATCTTTCACTCACTCAGGAGTCTGAGAGCCACTGAAAGGACACTAATTATGTCACTCTCCTGTGAGACATGAGCTTACACTTTTAGATGAAACTAAGCAAAAGAAGTTAAATTTTACAATCCTTAGTGAATGATGTGGCCCTGGGGTGAGTGATGCCTCAGTGGAACTGCAGGAGATGAATAACTTCTATCTTCTCTTTGTCCACAGCTTGTATGAGAAAAGACTGACCTCATCAGACACCTACTACTAGGAAAGCTCTGGCTGCGAGTACCAGGTAGGTATTTCACTGCTGCTGAGAGCACTTCTGTGCCCTTCATGTCTCTCCTTGTGACATTTTGGACTATTTAAATTACAGAAAGCTCTGCCAGGCTTGCTAAGGTTGTGAATTCCAGCTGCACTTTATTTAGGAAACACTGATTGCCATCTTGGATCTGTTTGTTTTCAAAAAGAGATGTTTTATAGTACAATACCGCATCTCTCTGCAGATGTATCATTGGAAGTTTTTTGATGTCCATTTGTGTAAGTGATGTATCACAGTTAAAAATTGTTCACAACAGGATTATTGCTGACAGTTTGACTTAGTGCAGAACATAACACAGAGCTCCTATACTACCCCCCAAATAATTTATTTTTTTTTTAAGATCTCTGAAAAATCTGTGCAAATCACGATAGCCAAACACCTCAGATGAAGAAACTGAAACTTGCTCGTAATGTTCTCAAACTATAGCAAAACCCAAACTACCCTGCAAGATTTTTCTAGCTGTTTTCCATTGGCATCAGTGACTCCCTCCGTTAGATAGTCCTTTTAAAAGAACTGGGGTTATATCAGACACAATTGGACAGAGGTTATGTATTACATATAAAAGTTTGAGATATCATGAGACATGTGGAAGAGCTTTTTAATAGCAAAAATAATGGCACTTTCTGGATTTGCAAGTTAGGGCAGGAAAGCACCACTCTTTTGTCTGATAATTTTATCTAATTTTAGTTTGAAAAATGAAACTGGACAGGTAAAAGAGTCCAACTGATTTGTGAGCAGACTAAAAGCTTCTTCCCCTTTGTTAGGCTATGGACAGTGATGGCAGTACTTGGCCCTCAGATATTGGGTGTGGGCCTCTCACATCTCCCACTATTCTTCACCCACAGCCAAATCCTAGTAAAGAAAGGCAAATAGATGACAAAAAAAGTGGCTAACTCCAAAACAATCAAAAATGAGTAAAGAGAGAAAGAAGGGCAAATAAGCTTCTATTTAATTAGTTCTAGCTGAGATCACTACTTTTTTGGTGTCCCTCTCCTAAGTCCTATGCTTGGCTTGCTCAATTGTGCATTTCACATAGTAACATGTTTAAGAAAAAGTCAGCATTAAAAATCCTTATATGAAAGTAGCGGCTTGCTCCAAGCAGCTTTCAGTATGTAATGATAGTCTTCTTTGACTATTTCTTCATAAAGACTTAAACACTTTTAGTGATGTTTAATAATTCTAGTGTGGTTCCTACTCTTATTTCTGTCAGAAAGAAATAAGAACTTAAGACATAGTAACAAGCTGTAATAGCCAGTAGTCACTCAGCTCATAAATGTGTGTGATATGGGAAGAAAATCACTGATTAAAAGTGCGTAAGTGGCAAATTAAAAGGGAGGCCAGCTGCCATCCCAGTGGTACCATAGTTTTCTGCTCTGTCATGCAACAAATACAGATTAATTATTCTGTGTATTTCTACAAGAGATGATCACTTTCCAGAACAAAAACAAACAAACAAACAAACAAAAAACACACACACACAAACAAAACAAAACAAAACAAAAAGGTTAATCTCTTATCTTTTTTCCATATCTTAAAGATGAAATTTGAACCTAACATTTTTTGAAATATAAATTGTTTCACTTTTAGATTGTCTACATTTTTCCTTGTCTCTATTACTGCTACCGTAGGAATTTTATAAAATCTGTAGTGAAAGTCCCAAATGTCTCTCAAGAAAACTTTTAAAATTTGTTGTGAGTTTAATAGATTCAAGGAAGTTGAAAAAAAAATAAAAATTAAAATTAAAAAAAATCAGGGATTATATGTTAAAAAAGGGCTTGAAATTTCACATTCCTTATGTTATATATGGAGTGGTAATTTGTGTCGAGAAAATGGTTTTTATTAATAAAGAAGAGGGATATTTGGGAATGTGGCCATGGGGGTTGCAAAACCCCATGACTGAGATAACATTAGACTCTTAACGATGAGGCCATCAGGAATATAAAAGCGTTCAGAGAGAACAAAGAAGGGTGATTCAGGAGACTCTATGCAGTCTGGGGTTTCTTGTTCTCCAGGTGGTTCTCTTGTTCTCCAGCCTTTAAGGCATGGATGTTTCTGGGTGTTTGCTGTTGTTACATTCAAAGTTGTTTGACCAATGAAAAGTTGTTTTGAAAAGAACTGCTGTGGAGAGAAGGGTACAAGAGGGGAGCCTGCCCTCAAGATAAAGAGAAGGCAACATGAAGTTACATGAATAAAGAAGCAGGAAAAAGAAGTGAAGAGGAACAGGCTGGCAGAATGGAGACCAGGATGGGAACAGGCACATAGATTGCCTCACGAAAACAGGTTCGGCCAAACTCAGCAAACCGCTCAAAGAAGCTCGTACAGAAAGTCGCTGGAAATAGGCGCACTGGAGCTGGAGAGAAGCTTGAGCTGAGAGAAGCGGACCCGTGCACACAACTGCCTCTCACTGGTAAGCAGCATTATGGGGAATCATACGTCCTTAGGAACAAAGACTGTCCTGGTAACCTTACAGCTTATTCTCCTTATTAACAATTGGACAGTTTATGAGCCTCAAATATGGGACCAAACTGAGGTCAAGGTGTGGGATTCTGCAACTAAAAATGACAAGGTTGCGGTGGGATTGCTGGGCACCTGGCGAGCAATCTCTGAGGCCTTAAAGAGCCATGTGGAGCAACAGTCAGAAACGTGTGGCTTGCCAGATAGTGAGGGAGCTGCGGGTTCCTTTACTGATCCGACTGCTATGCCATCGGCCCCTCTGCTGCTACAGCCATCGAAGGCTTTTGCTGTTTCACCCCCTGTTGACCTGGACGTGCCTTTTGACCCAGGCCTCTAGGCCTTCACAAGGAGATGGATATGCTTTTCTTTGATTGGGAAGAATGGGATACATAAGGCCTGAAGAATGGAAAATGGAGACTGTTAAGTTATGGAACTCAAAGGATTGTTTGTTACCTTTCCTGATTGCATATGAATAGGCATACTTGTGTTTAGTGTGTAAAGCAATGTTTAGAATATGTTTAGAAAGTTTGATGTTTGTTTGTGCATGTTGCTGGAGTGTAGGCTCCTCGCACACCCAGCGCTGTTTACTTGCCTTTTATACCTTTTTTACAGCTTTTATACCTTTTAGAAATATTTGTTTTATAAATATTACAAAATTCAGATTGACTTGAGACCTCATTTATAACACTTATCATTCTTCATACACAGATGAGTCTAAAACTAAGTCATTAAATAATGATGACTGTTCAACTCTACAGTTCTGTGAATCTTCTATACATACTTTCCCCATTCCCCTCCCCCCCAAATTTATTTCCACCCAAATAAAAAGATGGCAAATTTCCCTGAGAGTATACGTGGAAGCTTTTTACCAGGAGGATTAGATCCATTATACTTTTTTTTGAGAGGAGTCTACTTAAGGTTTTGACAAGAATGACCATACCCATGATACAGAGGAGTCTGAACTATTTGGTAGAGCACTAAATATTGTCTTTGGAAAAAAGTGAGACAATTTACTTATCATAGAGTACAAGAGCTCTCCATTTCATGTGTAGGAAATCAAACAGGGAAGGAAGGAAACCAGCATGGCTGAGGAGCAAGAACATACGTGTCAAACTGAGGTGTAAGAAGAAAGTGTACAGACAGTGGAAGCAGGGACATGTGGCCTGGGAAGAGTACAAGGATGCTGTCCGGATGTGCAGGGATGGGATCAGGAAAGCTAACACACATTTGGAACTGCGCTTGGTAAAGAATAACAAGGGAGGTACATTGGTACATTGGCCAGAATAGGTCAATAATAGATCAATAGGTCAATAATAGGTACATTGGCCAGAAAAGAAAGGCCAAGGAGAGTGTACCCTCTCTGATAAACAAGAAGGAAGAACTAGTAACAACAGACAGAGAAGACCGAGGTGCTCAACTTCTTTGCTTCAGTCTTCACTGCCAGGCTTCCCACATCTCTTGAGTCTCTGAAACTCTAGGCTGGGACTGGGGGAGCAAAGTCCCTCCAACTGTGAGCAAAGAGCAGGTTTGAGACCATGTGATGCAACTGAACAGGTACAACTCTATGGGGTTCAATGCCATGCATCCCAGGGCACTGAGGGAACTGGCTGATGCAGTTGCCAAGCCTCTCTCCATCATATTTGAAAAGTCCTGTTTGTCAAGTGAAGTCTCTGATGACTGGAAAAATCACTCCCATTTTTAGAAAGGAAGACCCAGGGAACTGGTGAGCCTCAGCCTTGTGCCTGGAAAGATCATGGAACAGATCCTCCCGGAAGCAATGTCAAGGCACATGAAAGACAAGGAGGTAATCTAAGACAGCCAGCATGGCTTCACCAAGATCAAATTGTGCCTGGTCAATCTGATGGCCTTCTATGGTGGAGTGAATGCATCACTTGACCAGGAGAGACTGACTTTATCTACTTGAACTTCTGTAACATCTTTGACATGATCCCACATGACATCCTGATCAGGATGAATTGAGATGGATTTGATATGGGTTTGAAAAGTGGATTATTCAGTGGATGAGAAGTTGGCTGGATGGCTGCAGCCAGAGAGCTGTGGTCAATGGCTCCATGTCCAGATGGAGGCTGGTTTCTCTCAGGAACCATCTTGACACCACTGTTGTTTAATATCTTCATCAATGATATAGACGATGGCATTGAGTGCATCCTCAGCAAGTTTTCAGATGACACCAAGCTGAGTGGTGCAGTTGAGACCACAGAAGGAAGGGAAGCCATCCAAAGGGATATGGATAAGCTTGAGAAGTGGGCCCATTGGAACCTAGTGAGGTTCAACAAGTCCAAGAACAAGGTGCTGCACCTGGATCAGGGCAATCCCACTCCCTAGTGAAACACTCATGGAGACCAGACCTACAGAGAAAGACTTGGGGTTTCTGGTGGACAAAAAATTGACATGAGCCAGCAGTGCATGCTTTCAGCTCAGAAGGCCAACTGCATCCTGAGCTGCATCAACAACGGAGTGCCCAGCAGGCAAACGGAGTTGATTATGCCCCTCTGCTCTGCCCTTGTGAGTCCCCACTTGGAGACCTGCATCCAGGTCTGGGGACCCCAAACAAGGGGGCTAACATTCTGCTAGTGATCAGAATGCTGGAGCACTTGTATGAAGAAAGGCTGAGAGAACTGGGGATGTTCAATCTGGAGAAGAGAAAGCTCTGATATGACCTTATTGCATCTTTTCAGTACTTAAAGAGGATTTAAAAAAAAAAAAAAAGAAGAGAGAGTGACTTTTTACATAGGCAAATAGTGACAGGGCAATGGTAATAGTTTTCAACTAAGAGATGGCACCCCGGGCAACCTGATCTCGTGGGTAGCACCCCTGCCCATGGCAGGGGGTTGGAACTAGATGATCTTTAAGGTTCCTTCAAACCCAAGCCATTCTATGATGAATGTATTCATATCTTGTAGAGAAAGTGAAATACATTTTCTTCTATTAGTATCTTGAGAGGTTTATTAACAGCAAACATTAAATAAGTTAAACATTTTTAAATCACAGGAAAAGAGCATTGACTAGTATTGACTGTGAACTACTGCTCTTGAATCAGAGAGTGTCATTCGTTTGAAATGGCATGGAAAAAGAGAGAGAGGGCTTTATTAGTTAACCACAGAATACCTATGAGCTAGTGATCTAGTGTGTCTCAGGAAAAAAAAAAAAAAAAAAGTGACCAATGTATTTTCTATTAAAATAGGAAAAATTCAATTCATTAGACATTGCTAAATATTTGGTCACACATGAGAAAATGTATTTCAAAGTGGAACAGTTGTAGAGAAAAACTAATATTGTGACCAGCAGTATTTCTCTTGGTTAGACTGAGAAACAATACCTTGTTTAGCCTAGAAAAAGAAGGGCTGTATTTGAAAGGGTATAAATACTCATACTTCATATCAGCAGAGTAGGGTGAAAATATTGAGAATGAGTATGACCATTAAGGATAAAAGATAATGCTGGTCTAGAGGTAAGTATATGCAAGCTGGCTATGAGAAAAAAAAAAAAAAAAAAAAAAAAGGAACAAATCTATAATAAATGTATTTTTTGTTGTAGGAGAGGGGGGCATGAGGAAGTGGTTTTAAAGTGGACCTCAATATGTGTACAGAAGTACTTTGTGGCCTGCTGGAAGTGGCCAAGGATATTTTTCCAATTCTCAAATATTAACTTATTCAGAGTTTTAGAACAATCAGTAATTTTTGTTGCACCAAAATTTAAGGAAGATTAAATATGTGAACTCAGAAAGCACTGATGGGTTAGCTTGGCTTTCATCTAGGCATCAATAGAGAATAATATGGGATATGATCAGTAAAGACAGTAGCATAATTAATGACAATTAGCATAGTTTTATAATAAACAACTCTTATCAAACAAATGGTGTCTTTTTGATGAGAATACATTTGGTTTAGGGTAATAATTGTGCCTTTATAATATAACTAGAGATAGAACACAAAGTCATTTGCTTTAAGAAGGCATAAAAACTTGCAAAAATATGGCACTGTTCAAAATTCACAAAATCCATATTCATTGTTTTAAAGACTGATCATATGAATGGTTATAGTTTACAGACTCTCCTGTATGTGCATCCATCAGGCACCAGTGTTGTTCAGTGTCTTTATCAATGTTCTAGAAGAAAATATAAAATCAATACAAATAAATCTGTGGATGACATAAACACTGGTAGAGCGCTAAATAATACTAGAGGTGGGTTAGTAATAAAGATCGCTATGCGTCATTTGGTAAAGAGATGGTAAGGCTAATTTGAACTTGTACAAGGTCATATAACAAGAAAAAGAGAATGTACATCATAGTTATGGAGTAGAGAACAGTTATTTGGAAAGCATGGACTTAAAAAAAGCTTTAGAGTAACATTGAATAAAAATGGATTTGTGAGTTTGTTAACTTTTATACACATATATTGATATAAAATTCTTAACTTTGAAATGTTTTAATTTTTTATTCAATCACACGTTTGAAGAAAAAATGATTAGAGTGTTTGTTTTCTATGAGATAAAAGGTATTAAACATGTCAGAGGAAAGCTTAGAGTAAAATGCTATTTTTAAATTAAAAAATCAAAATGTTTTAAATTTTTCAAGGTTGATACTCCAGGGACTAATGATATAGATATTATGTACCTCCATTAAGCACTCTTGAAAGGTTCTCGATTGCTCTGGACACATCAACACCATGGACATACTCAAAACCTTGCTGCAGAATTGTCTTGCACCATCATTAGGTCTTTCTAAAATTCAAGTCAATGTCCCACGCTGCCTTGTGTCTTAAGATACACTGCCTGGCTTTGTAAATCAGTACTATTTCTAAGGCAAAGTCATTTGCCTTCCAGGAAACACCCTCCACAATCTTAGTGAATGCAGGATACTTTTCTGAGTCTGTTGATTTAGCATTGGTTGAACCAAAGCTGTTGGCAATATCTGGGCCTGCACATTTGTTATTCTAATCAACAGCTGCCTTTTCCACACAATATAAGGTTTCTCGTGCCCCTATAAACTGTCTTCCATGCAGGTCTCTCATGGGAGTACACATTGTCCAATTTAGTAACTTCTGCTTAGTTTGCATTTGGAATTAATTACAACTCTATATAATACAACGTACATTTCTGATAACAACAGCCAAATTAAGCTGATAGTGTGCATTCTGTATATTTAAAGTAGAGCTTTTTCTTGTTACCTGTGTCACAGCAACAAAGTATCATCAAGGTTCCCCCACTCTGATCTTCACAGAATGCCAGTTATATTGCAACAATATAAAGAAATGCATACTAGCAAATTGATGTGCTTTTCAATGCTTGAGCTACATGTATATAAATTTATTAAAAATATGTCTAACATTACTAACCATCTTGCCAGGAGGAAACATGCTGGCACTTGCTTCTGAGTGAGACAGGACTTCTCCAAGTGTTCAGTCCCACAGCTGCAGTGCATAATTCTTCGTTCTTATCCTCAGTGCACCTATCAGTCCCTTGCAAGTGGTCTGTTATTTCTGGATGGTCTCAAAGAAGGAACCAGAATTTCCAGCTCTTTGCTTTTCTGATATGATCTCTTATCTCATTGTGTATTGATGTTGGTTTTCTGCCCTCTCCTTCTCATTCTTACAGATTGTCTCTGTTCTTTTCTTCACTTTTATTTATTTATTTATTATTTAGTTATTTATTTTTCTGTTCTCAATATTTCAACCGTCTTATTGCTGGTTTCAGTCCAGAATGTCAAAATAAATAGTAGTAAACATACATCTAGGTCTTCTTCATCTCACTTGCTTGAGTCTTGTCTCTCATTTTCTTGTCTATGTTTCTTCCTATGCCCTGTGTCATTCCCATGCAAAAGCAATCAATTTTACCATTTTTAAGTCACGGTCTTTGTTTCTAGTATTCCTACACCTAAAACACTAGCTTTTTATTCCTCATCAGACACTTTTAGCCTGGTTTGCACAACGAATTTCTCTCAAACTTCTCTTTATTCTTGAGTGTGCCACTACTACTGCTACTACTACTACTACAATCTTTATTTGTATTTTGTTTATATTGAGAGTATTCTATATGAAGTTTAAACACATAGATAAGTGCCTCCTAGCATCAGGATTTAGATTCCTTTCCAAATAATTTATCATAATTTTCCATTTGACCAAGAAGGGGACAAAAAATGAATATTTAATCATTTCAAGAAGTGAGAACTGTAGAGTGAAACAGAAGAACAAAATTGAAAATGCAATAAATATAATTACAAGACAATTTTTATTTTGTTCTTATTTATTATATGTCCAGCTTGAGAATACAGCTATTCACTCAGGCAAAGAACTAGATGATGTGTATAAACATCCCCTTGTTCTTTTTCTCCTCTGAGCTCTGCCCCATTTAGATTGTATGATTTGCTTGGGTAGTAACTATATGGTCTTGACTACCTAAATATCCTTTAATTTTGTTACTACCAGAAACAAACAATAAGATCCCAAAAATATCTCAGAGACTTTCAGCCCACTCCATTATGAATGAAGTTCACTGTTATGCACAGAGTCAGCAAATACATTAGATGTTATGTAAATCTTGTTGAGTTCTAAATGCAGGACTTGTGGAGTGTCTAGGTTCTTATTGTGAAGTACTACAGAAAGGATTAAAGTTCTACCAGAGCAGTTTGAAAAGATTAAGAATCATTAGAGTTTTTTTGGGGAAAGAAAGAAACAAACAAAATAAGTAGGGGAATAAGGTACAGAGACAGGTAAGGAATTCTTTGATATACTTTGTGATAGATGGTAGACTTAATCATTAATAAAATAGATTAGGAACTGAGTATAAGAATAGAGGAAAGGTCTGATTTAAAAATGAAAGACCTAGAGAAAGAAAGTCATACCTAAAGTAATACCTGAAAGATCATACCTAAAGCACTTGCTGGGAGCCATTACTACAACAGGACTGTACAATCCAATTGTGTAGGCAAAAATGTATATATATATTTCTTCATCTTCATTTTTCTCTTGAGTTGGGTTAGTTGTTTGGTTTTGTTTACAAAGTGGCCATTTCTGGCCTCTTTCTGGTGGTACCCTGAAACACCTGCAGTAAAAAATACAGTGCTTCCATGCACCTGGCCCAGGACACCTGGCCCAAACTAATTGATGATCTCTAGAGAGGTGAAGGTCAGGGTGAATGATACATGCATGACAGTAGTGAATAGTAGGACACCCCAGATGCTCCCTTCCAGCTGCTCTGGTATTTCTGCTTGTAGGGTAGGGGTGTTGCCAACACAGTTAGTTTAGAGCTGTTATGTTAGAATTAGTTTAGAAATTGGAAATTGGGAAACAATTAACTGGAACAGCACTTTCTTCTAAAGTTTTTTTTTTTTTTTTTTAAATACAATTTTGTTTCTTATTCTAGCATTGCACTTGAGACAACTGTACAAATCTTCCTCTTTACATACAGTTTTTGCTGCTCTAATTAATTCCCTTCTTCTCATCTCCCATCCCTCCTCCTGTCTGAAATTGGATCAAACAATAGGGGCAGGCTTCAAACTTTGTTGTTTGATGTACTTTTATCACAAAATGAAGCAAGAATAAAAAGCATGACTTCCTTATTATGATATTGTTACTTTCTAAAATAACTTTTCTGTGAAAAAAATAAAAAAATAAAAAATCTGGTTATAAGATACAAATCTGCCATGTGATAAAACCTCTCACTCTTCTACACATGTGCCAAATCTTAGAAACACACCTTTTGTTGTTATATTAGTTTAAAGAACTCAAAGATGAAGGATAAAAGTATTTTAGACACCAAGCAGACTGCAGGATAATCCCCTAATCCAGATAGATGAAAGGAAATGCAGATTTTATGCCCTCTTGAGACTGGCAGCCTGTCAAAACAAACAAACAAACAAAAAAAAACCAACAAAAAAAAACACAAACACAGATCCTTCTATTCAGCTTGCCAAAAAACGAGAGAGGGAAAGAGAGAAAAGGTCTCTATCTCAAACATGTAAACGCACATACAGACACAAAGGGAATGTCTGTGCTACAGCACTACATAACCAACACTCATGTAGAAATCAATGCCAAAACATATATTAATAGATGTATTGATATTTCTTTTCTGAAGAGAAAGTATATTGCATGAAAATAAGAGAAGTTTGCACCTTAAAATATACAGAAAAAAGAAACACTTTAGTGTATCTAACAGATTGAAATCAGAATAGTAATATTTTCTCTTACTTAAAATAAAGGTTTTTATTGCAATCAGCACTAAAATATGTTAATTGCAGAACACTATTGTTTTAGAAAAATCTTAAGATATTCTGTTCAAATAACAATCATGGTCAATGCACACTACTTCCATGTTTCAGAGATTTTCTGGGCCAGATTGTGCTGCTTTTATTTGTGTCAAATACTACTTTTGATTTCAATTAGTATACTCGAATAATAAGGGACTAAGACAAAACATGGTCTTGAATTTTTAATGTTACGATACCCTCTCATTTGAATCCCACAAGGTATATGAGAGATTCTTCTTAGTGGAGAAAGTGACAATATTACTTTGAGTACAGGAAAGCAAAGCTGTGTGATTACTTCAGTTTCTTCAGCTCCCTTGCATTTAATCTATTTTTTATCTTTTATGTTCACAGGGTGCAGAAGGTGAAGGTGGGGATGGAAAAGCATATCAAGCAAAATGTGGGTAGAGTCAGCAGTAAAAGAAAAAATGCATGCTGTCCTCTACTGTGCAAAGCAAGCATAATCGCTGACATGAAGCAGTTTGCACTTCTGGGAGGAAAAAAATAACCAACAAAGATTCTTTACCAATGACAAGAACAAACCTGGAGAAAAAAAAAAAAAAAGAAAAAAAAAAGAACACTTTCTGTTTTGCAGCATAACTTAATGCTTACTCTGAATTGGACATATTACATTAATACTCATTTACCTGGACTTAATCTTATATCCATACTATTTCCATACTATTTGCATTTTGTAGGTCTTCATTTTGTGTTTTAAACTGAGTACTGGCCATTCTCCAAGACAAACTCTTTCTCATGTCCACAATCAAATGATGATATATATTTAAACATATAGCAATGTATTTCTTTAGTTAAAAAGCAAAAAAAAAAAAAAAAAAACAAATTCCCTTGAACTTTCAACAAAGAATTAGTGATGTGCTAACGTATATAGCACTGCTAAAATGTTAATTTCTTCACTTTTAATAAAATACCTTGCAAATCTGACCTATCTGCCCCTAATGGGAATTCTAATCTGTTGGGGAAGAAGATTCACCATTCACGACATGACTGCTGCTTTTAGCAGTTGTATGAGATATTACAAATGTTTCTTCCCCATGTGTAAGGAAGCAAATGAGCAGTAGGAATGGGAAAGTATTATCCTCTTGGGAGAGGGTGTTATCATTGTCATAGAGAGACACATGAGGAGATACCCAGTGCACACATTATAGCAATGCAGGAGAATCTAAGATGATTTTACCTCCCTATTAAACCCCACCTTGTAATTCCTTGCCACAGTGTTGAGGACCCCTGTGTTGCCAGGGAAGCACCATGACTTCTCAATAGCTCTTTATTCTATATGTAGTTTGAATGACCTCCAGCTTCTGACACTCAGCAGAGGACATGGCCAGGTACAATGCACAGGGAGGAGCTTTGGCTTCATGAGAGAAGATAAATGTGGCCACAGCTTCCTCACCTGCCTGCTGGTCACAGTGGGACTGGTCTCTCAAGGCTGCAGTTTGCTGGAAGAGGTTTTATGCACTAAAAACCCTCTAGGCAAAATTTGTTTCCTTAAATGTTGTGTTATATAGAAAGATTTGATACAGTCTAAAGTACCCACTGTAGGGATAATTCAGAGAGTCCCATGAAAAACAGAGGTCATAGCACACATTTAAGTCATTTCCATGTCTTTTTTTAGGCTTTTCAGAAGAATAAACTGTTAAGAAGAGATTTCAAACAGAGCGGTGAGATGACTTTTCGTATACTTATGAAAAGAAAAGGGAACAGAGAGGGAAAAGTATGAAGGCTTTGCAATATCAGAGTATTAGTATTTGATGTTAATATTCATCCTATTATGCAAAAATGCAAAATTAGACTTACCTTCTTAGTCAAGAATGCTCTGAGGCTTCAGCAAAGATAGCAGAATTTAAAATATTAAGATAAAAATGATACATAACTGCAACATATTTTAATGACTATTTATTAAAATGGCAGTGCAAGTACAATAATAACTGAACATAATTTCATAACATACTAGTTATACCTTTCATAATGTGCATGGGCATAATGACTTAACTGAGCTTTTGGGTACCTCACTGGGCAGAAATTAAAATGATATGCTGCAACATACAGTTCCTCCTCATGCCTTCCTTGCCTTAAACTTTATTATCATTATCAGAATAAATAAATAAATAAATAAATATGAAGAAAGCTAGTTTTACAAGGACTCAGTAGAGGTACCAACATAATCTTAATTTTGGTTTTGGTTACTGTAGGAAAAAATATTTCTATTTCACTAAGAAGCATGTCAGAAAGGAGTACTAAGTGCTTACACCTACATAGAAGGAGGAACCCACTCCTCCTTCAGAAGGTGTATATATATAAATTGGACTTGGATTCAAATGCTTTTTCTACTTAAGGGAATTTGAACCCATCTCCATTCTGACAGTAAAGTGGTGGAGCTATTAAATGACAGTCTGAATGTGGATCTATGAATACCATACTCTCCTGCTGTAGATTAAGTCTAAGGAGCCCAAACATCATTCCTTCAGGTGTTCTGATCTCAATCTATCCTGTTAGAGATAAATTACCTTGTGCATATTTATTGAGAGTAATTCAATAGACTGGTTAGAACATTAATAAATAAATAAAATAACATACAATAAAATAAAATAAAATAAAATAAAATAAAATAAAATAAAATAAAATAAAATAAAATAAAGCTTCTTCTTGAACTAGTAGCTTAGACTATCTTTTTGAAGGAGGTTACTGATTCAGACCAAGCAAAGATGTAAAACAGTTCATGATGCTCTTCTGCTGGGATTTATCTTCTGCAGCATTAAAGTTATATTTGAATTAGGATTTTTCTTTACATTGGAACTGTGTTTTTCAAATGACTCTCTTAGTCGCTTCCATTTCTTGTGCATTGTCTCACATAGGGAGCAATCCTGGATTGCACAAAACAGGTTCCTTTTGGATAAACCTGTACTGGGAGAGAACCTGTACAGTTATAGCCCCAAATTCACCTTTCTGCAGTGACTTCACTCTGCATACGAGTCAGTTAGGAAGGACCAAGCCCCATTTACACCAACGCTATATTTTATAGGAAAAAAAAATAAAATCAGGACACTACCTAGACTGATGCGCTAATTCAAATTCAGTATACAACTCCCATAAAAGATCATCATGTGCAGGACTGTGCAGTTGTTTATAGTGAGGGGATAGGAAAGCTGACAATACAGTTTTTAAAATTCTGGAAATACAAAGTTTTTGCTTTACACTGTCCTTAACAAATTCCTGGATATTGTTGTCTGGAGTAAGTCTAATGATCATTAGCTATTGACTAATCCTAGGCTGCCAAATATTCATTTAAGGATTGTTTGTGCTATGCAGTTTCTCACATAATTCTCTTCCAATATGGAGGAACTTTCTGACTAGTTTATTGATAAGAAGTGATAGCTGTTGAGTTTTCTATTACTAGGACTCCAGCATACAATATTTATTAACTGTACCACCGTTAATGTATTTGGGGTTCAAGCCATGGACTGCAGGCGTCTCCAAAATAATGTGAAAACTATGAAAGTGAAGAATGAGTAATTTACATGAGCCACAAATGTACCATTCACCCAAATGCAGCAAGTAATTCGTTTCAAAAGCTATTCTAATGAATGGTATCCATACTTCTAAAGCAAACAAATGAGGGGACTGCCAACTTTTTTCCAGAATAGTCTTTGATGTGAAACAACACTGAATATGCAGAGACTTTGAACAAGCAAGTTCAGAAAAGAATTGTTAATATGAGAAATAGTCTGCAATATGATTGCTCAGATTTGTCTGTTATGGGAAGTTCATGAAAAATGTTTCTGGATTATTCACTTGATTTTTTTTCCCTAAGATACTGTAATACAGATTTCTTGCTGAATTACAAACTACGCTCTTTTTTTGCCAATTCTTTATTGTTTGGATCTCACTTGTAGCACAGCTGAGTTTTACTCTATTTTAGGCAATCTTTTTACATCTTCTTCAAATCTCACACACACTGCACAAAATCTTTCTTTCCTGGAGAGACATTGCTGGACTGAGATGAAGTCAAATGCAAGTGAAAAAAGAGGAAGGACTAGAGTAAAAGGTTTGGCAGCTTGCATCCTAAAGGCATATACGTGATTAACAGAATATATTTTCAATTTCCACTTTCATGCATTCACATGCAAAACTAGAGCATATTTTCTGAAGCTTTTTACTTCTAAATTGTTTACTGTTACAGAATTATACATTAACCAGTTGATTTTGATTGAATAGATAGCATTTTGAATGCACAAAAAGAAATTAATTTACAGTAGCTGGTTCATAACATTAATATGAACAGTGTTTATAGTATGAGGATATGTCCTAATAGCATAACATACAACTCTATCCTGCTGCATTTAAGTACTTTGTAACCCTTCCAGACAAATATCACACCTATCTAAATTTAGGCGAAATACTACTTAAATCCATTTACTTGGTCCAGGAAAATGTTTCTGTGTAATAACTTTGAAGGAGCTCTATAGGTTTTCATGTGAATTAAGTGACAGGAGCGTTGAAGAAAGCAATACTCTAGCTCTCAAACGGCAATGAAGGTGAAAACTTGGGCCATCACAACCACAGAACCTGATTATAGTCCCTTAAAACAATTTCTAGAAAAGGAAGACTTGGAAACAAGCTTTTAAAGCTGCATGAATTCAATATCTTGTACAATCTGGGATGTATACATTTAAAAAATAAAAATAAGAACTTAAAATTCTGGGATAAATATCTGTAACTACGGTATAATCAAACTTGTCTAGTATGAATGAAAGTCATCTGTTATTCTTCCTGTGTCTTCAATTTATGCCTTTTCTACAACCATCTCTATGTTCCCATTATTAATTCATGAATTTATACATTCTTTTGTCTGCTTGGAAGAAAGTGTGTGTTTGTGTGTTTTGTCAGAAAAGAGCAGGCTGAGAAGACACAAGATTGGCCAGACGTCTCTGTTGATGCACCTGAAAATAGAGATTCTCCTGCTAACAACATCCATGCAGAGATGAAACCTCTCCAGTAGCATATTTTGCATTTGGCAGTTAAAGATTTATCACTTCTGAGAGCATTATCAGTAATAATTCCAGATAAACAAATATACCTAAGTTTAGCTGTCCTCGGTATCAAGTTCTGTGAAGAAAAAAACAAACAAACAAAGCATACAAACAACCAAACAACAACAACAACAAAAATGAAACTAAACTGAGCTTTTTAAAAAAGAGACATAATAATGTTCCCACCAGCATTTTGTTGGTCTTATGACAGTTAAAAAAATAAAAATAAAATAAGGATTTCAAAATGTCCTCATAAGATTGATAGAAAGTTATAAGATGACAATAAAAATAAATAAGATTCAAAAAGATCAGTTCCAGTTAGCAGGGATGTACTACCCAATGTGGGCCTCAAAGGAAAAGTATATCAAGAACAGAAGGAAGCTTAGATGAACAAGGCTGTTGAAGATTATATTTTGCTGTCTTCCCTGAAAAGCTCTCTGGAGAACCTCAGTAGATTTACTAGATTCAGTAACATAACTTGTTACAATATAATGGCTAATAGTGAAAAAACGGTTGTCAAAGAG